TCTCTTACAGTACTGGGACAGAGAGAGCTAAAGAAAAAAACTCAGTACACTGAGATAAAACTATCCCTTTAATAACATTTAACAACTTAATTGAAGGAATTATGCATAATGTGTATAGCATCATGAAAATGTGAATAAAGACAATGTAATGCACAGTATGTTGTGCAAGCCATGAACCCACTGTAATTACACGTGTAACTAGTCAACTCTTAAAAAAAAGAGCAGTGGTAGTAAAGTATCAGTAGGAAGATGGTGCCTCAGATTTACTATAAAACTGAAGTTAATAGTAAAAAAATTAAACAAGCATAAATATTCAGTACGGTAATTACCAGCAGTTACAGTGGAACCTCGACTCACGAGTGTCCCAACATACAAATTTTTTGAGATAAGAGCCGTCGATCAGTCGATTTTTTGCTCCGAGTTATGAGTCAACATCTGAGTTATGAGCCAGCTTCCCCTGCTTCACTCTCAACCCACACACTTCACTTGTTTATCTATGATTTCATGCTTTAATTCCATGGAAATCATCCTCTTTTTCTTCTCAGCACTGTCCTTTGCACTTACTTTCTTAGGACCCATGGTTAGAAATAAGAAATTTGGCAAAATAACTGCAGAAAACGGAAGGAAATCATGACAAAATCTCCTCCCACAGTAAGGTAAACAATGCCCTGCACCAACCAGCATCAAGGTTCCTTGACGCTGGTGAGGGGCTCTTGATCTAGGGAATTGGATCTGTACTCCAGTTCCCTAAATTAAATAATAATAATAATAATAATAATTATATAATAATTATAATAACGATCGAGCTTCAGTTCCCTAAATTAATAATAATACATAATACGTAATAATAATTCAGAATGCTGCCACTAGTTGGTGCAGCTGATGGTAAAAGCTCAGTGATAAAACAAATTGTATTAGTTAAGTTCAGAGATAAAACAAATTGTACCAGTTAAGTTCAGTGATAAAACAAAACAAGTTGTATCAATTAAGTTCGGCGATAAAGTGTAGCATTAAGAGTGTAGCAAGTAAGTTAAATGATTAGGTGATAGAAAAAGGACGAAATGAAACTAACTCCTCCATTGTTGTTGGAGGTTTATAGGGCCACTGACATCATACGCCGCACTGCCTATCTCCCACCCTCAACCTCCGCCACCATCTCTGCTCCAAGTGTGTAAGTATACACTTTATGTAAACAGTTTATTTCTTTACAATCTTTAGTATTATGTTTTTATACAATACACCTACCATCTGACTTACGACCTGCTCGACATACGACCATTCGACTTATGACTGTGTTTTGTATGCCAAATTTCTGGGAAATAAACTGTTTGTGTTGTACACAGTGTTTTTCCTAAACCTTACAGTATAAAATACAGTACTAACAGCATAAAAAGTAAAGTAAGAAATGAAATACCCAAAAAAAAAAACAATAAAATAAAGTCATTACAAAAATGTGACGTTGATATTCAGTAGTAAGGTTCAACTTACGTCCATTTCGACTTATGACCGGTTGGTCAGAACCGAATTCGGTCATAAGTCAGATGGTACCTGTATTTCTTATTTATAAATACATTTTTTTCAGTGTTTTCCTTAGGAAACTAGTGATCTACTGGAGTTAGCCTCACAAACACTCTGTTTTCTCTTACAATAAGAACATGGGAAGATTTTATAGTCAGAGTGGGAGAGGAAACGGCAGACGCTGCTGCCGCCACCATCACTCTCCATATTAAGGCCTATTTTATTCATTCTAGAGTGTATATCATGTCTCTGTGTTAATTATACTGTTTATTATGTCATATTAGATGAATTGCGATAGATAAATAAGCCGAAGAGTTGATATTAGCGTCATATTCAAGTACAGTGGACCCCCGGTTCATGATGCTATCGGTATCCGATAAATCCGGTATCCGATGCATTATGTCGCAAAAAATTTGCCTTGGTTCCAGTTACAAAACCCAGTATGCGATACGATTCGTACGAGACGTGTCCACGTGTGGCCTGAACTGCCCCTTGTGTGCCAGTGTTTACAAGCCAGCCAGTGTGCGCGCATCTAAGGATACATTTGGTACATTCCATATTATCCTTATTATCACTGTTTTTGGTGCTTGTTTCTGCAAAATAAGTCACCATGGGCCCCAAAAAAACTTCTAGTGCCAACCCTGTGATAAAAAGGGTGAGAATTAGTATGGAAATTAAGAAGATTTTGAAGGGTTTGGGGCTAACCCTGAGAAGCCTATGCCAGTTGTGGAATCCATTGTGCCTACTTCAAAAATTAAGGAAATGTGTGCACAGTGGGTTGAACTGCAAACCTTTATGGATGAAAATCACCCTAACACAGCTATTGTAAGCCGTGCTGGTGACTATTACACTGACAATGTTGTGAACCACTTTAGGAAAGTCATAAAGGAACGAGAGGTACAGGCCTCTATGGACAGATATGTTGTGCGACAGAAGTCCAGTGACTCTCAAGCTGGTCCTAGTGGCATTAAAAGAAGGGAAGTAACCCTGGAAAAGGACTTGCTACCTCAAGTCCTAATGGAGGGGGATTCCCCTTCTAAACAACAGGTTCAACAATCTCTCCTCCTCCCATCCCATCAATCATCACCAGATCTTCATTAAAGGTAAGTGTCAATTATTCTATTGTTATTATTCTATTGTTATTGTTGTTATTGTAATTATTCTATTACATTAAACTTAATATTTCATGTGGTAAAAGTTTTTTTTTTCGTACTTTTGGGTGTCTTGCATGGATTAATTTGATTTCCATTATTTCTTATGGGGAAAATTGATTCGCTTTCTGATAATTTTGGTTTACGATGAGCTCTCAGGAACGGATTAATATCGCGAACCGGGGGTCCACTGTATTTTGTCCTGCCTCCAGAGAGCAGGAATTCCACTGGAACAGATTAATGGCAGTTCAGTTAATTAAAATGAGGAAAACTGATCTGATATACGAACAAACTGAGTTACGAGCTAGGTCATGGAACGGATTAAACTCGTAAGTCGAGGTTCCACTGTACAGTGGACACCCTCTGTTTTCATTGTTAATTCATTCCAGAGAGTCCAACGAAATGTGAAATTGACTAAAACTGGAATCATTTTCCCCATAAGAAATAATGTAAGTCCAATTAATCTGTTTCAGACATCCAAAAATATAAAAAAAAATATTTTATAGAGAAGAACTATATTCCACTGCAGACCAAGCAGCTAAATCTGCTTGTTCATTGCTCTGAACACTGACATCTCCAGTTACTCAATAAAAAATATATCTATGATTACTAGACATACGAATAACTGAAGTTGTATAAGTATGTGGGAAAATGGGATGAAGGAAATCAAATTTCTGGAGAGTGAAGCACTGTAGGAGCTCAAAACAACTATGAATGATGAGGTAGACATCGACACTTTATATAATAGCCATGAGAATGACATACAACTTGGCTGTGAAAACACAGCTGATAATTTTGTCAAGAAAAACTGCTGCATGCCCATCATCAAGGGATTTAGAACAATCAGTGCACACTGATAAAATAGAGTGAGCATGAAACAGCAGCAGACGAACCAGTTTTTGCCCATGGAAGTGGGGGAGAGCAAACACGAATCGTCGGGACTTCTGCAGGGTTCCTATAATGCAACTGCTGCATATGCTGTCATATTATTCATTAAAAAAGTGTGAACTCCAGCTGTCAAAGCAACTTGCATTACTGTATTATAGCACTAGTTACATACTGATAAAAAGTTTCTTACTTAGCTCTTGTTGGGAAAAAAGACACAAAAGCAACTAGTGAGACATTTATTAAGGTTATGTTTCATTCTTCATAAGCATTATCAAGTCAATACAAACAATACAAGGACAGAGGGTATATGAAGAGAATATGGTGAGATGCAGCAAGAACATAAGCACTGCAGAAGGCTTAATGGCTTATGCTAATAGCAATAGTTATAGCAGTAGAAGCAACATGTCAGGTGACTGTAGGAGTCATCATTTTGAGGAGGATTTGTGCTAATATTTCAGAGAAGACAAAGCTACTTTTGGTTTATAATTGTCTCCTCAAGGGAGGTTCCTTGATGCTGATGAGGGACTCTTGACTAAAGTAATTGGACTTGTGCTTTCCTTCCCTAGATCAAACCTGAATGCCTCCCATTCTACCAGATGCTGTATTCCCCCCCCCCCCTTCAAGAATGTAATAATGCTTATTTGTGTTGTTCCTAAAATGAAGATTGACAACACTTCAAGGCAATTCAGTTTGTGGTTGTTTGATTCCTTAATCACGTAGAGAAAGTTGTTTCATTTCATGAAGTGGATGGTGGTGAATAACACCGAAACACCAGTAGCCGCATGAAGAAATGGAACATACACTTCATGATTAAAGAACCAGACACCCACAAACAAAACTAATTGAAGCGTCATTAATCTTTATTCTAGAAACAATTACAGTACATCATATTATTACTACATTCATGGAGGGGCATGCTAAACCCATACAAGTTACAAAGCATCCAGGGGCATAGGAGGTACATGTATTTAGGTTTGATCCAAAGAGGGAAAGTACATGTCCAATTCTTTCAATAAAGAGTCCATCACCAGGAACTTCCCTTGAGGGGACATCAGAGCAAAGGCAGCTTCATCATCTATGCAATATTAGAATCATCCTCAAAGACAAACCTTGCCATCACCTGACAACAAGTTGCTGCTACTACTACTACTACTACTATTAGCATAGGTCAATAGACCTATTGTCCTTATTTTATTTGAATTAGCTTAATAAAGCTCTTAAAAGAGCAAAATATAGCCCTAATGAATGTCTCCTCAGTTCCTCTTCCTAACAATGCCATTAACTTTACCAATATTTATACAAGACAGTTACTGATGTACAGTACTTTATGTATTTTAATGCTGCTCCTTATTATAAAGATGACAGTGTAACAAAATAAGAGCTAGGACCACTTAAGATTACATTGTATGTACTAAAGAAAAGGAGTATATTTACACAACCAACTGATAATTCTAAATTTGATGCTTTATTAATCAAATATAGTGACATCCCAGCAAACTTCTTTCATCTTAAAACACTGAAATTTGCAATTAATTTTGAAATTATCACTGCACTTCTTATATAGCCCTAAAAAGTTGTCAGTGTATGTATCCAATATATGCAGGAAATTATACATATATTTTTTATCTGGATCACTAACAAAGCCTGCTCTAAATCTGCTAGATTACAGCACTGCATACATTACATGAGCTCTTGGTCATCACTTACAGGATTGACTGAAGATATAAAACAATCTTTTTTAGATAACTGTGGAATGGTAATTCTAATGGGCTTCTTGGGAATGGTAATATTAATGGGGTTCTTGAATTTTCCTACATGAGAATTTTTTATTCCTACTGTATTTTTATCCACATTATCTGACAGCTTCAATTCACTTTCATTAAATCTTTTCTTATCAGGTAATGTGCCTAATTTATGCACAACATCACAATTTTCAGAAGCATATGAGAGATTTATATCTAAAAAGCTGGTAGCTGTAGGTGACAAATAATCTGGTATTCAAGATCTACATTGATGCAGTTTTCTGGTGAAGGTTTTGTATCTTTATGTGGTGGTGAGAATGATAAAAGACAATCCTTTATTACATTCTGACATAATTTTGAACTAGATACACCAGACATGCTATAAGAATCTGAAATTACATCTTCACTGTTTGTAACAGTGGAAATCACTGGTGATACTGTATTTCCTTTGGAGGGTGACAAATCTTGGAGTATTACTACTGACGATTCTCTTGAAGATGGTGTGTTCAAACATGCTCTTGTTGGAGATAAATATTTTGATTCTGAGGACTGATGTTCATCTACAACTCCCATTACAGAATCAGTGGACACCAGTGAAAATGATGCTGGTTTCACTGTATGCATGTCAGTGTGTTTTGCGGTGTAAAGATTTGAAGGTGGTGAAAGTTTCTGAGCGAAAAATGGGGATAATATACTTTGTTGGTGATATTGTGACTGGTATAATGGTGAAGGTGCTATATAAGTAGAAGATTTGGAACAACTGACATAGATGCATCATTTTCTGGTAAATGTAATTCTTCAAATGTTAATTTGTTATATTCATCCTTTCTAAGTTCATTTTTTGCATGCAAATACATACTAGTCAGTTTTTCATGTGAAATATTTAGGCATCCTTGATCAGTAAGAGCATGTTTTTTGTGAGTGAAGGACTCACTCACATCTTCACTCATGGTAAGCTTTGCTCTTCTGCAAGTGTCCAGTCCCATATATGGGGATTTGTTACTTTTAATCTCAAGTAATATGTCACTGAAACGGACCCAAATTTCTCGAAAAATTATATTTTGAGTAGCAGTGAGGTTTCCATTCTCTAGGAGTGTCTCAAGTTTTTTGTTCAGCTTCTCTAGTAAAGAAAAGCTCTCTTCTTCTTCCAGAATTTTATTTGCATCTAATTTATTGTTTTTCATAGTGGTTGCTTTCAGATACAGTGTAGCAAGAGGTACCTCTAATTCACCAAATCTATCTTTCATATAGTTTAACAATTTCAGCACATCAACAATCTGAATAGTCAGAGGTTCCTGGCTACCCTGAACTGCCAGAGGTTCCTGGCAACCCTTAATTGCTAGAGGTTCCTGGCTACCCTGAATTGCCAGAGGTTCCTGGCTACCTTGAATTGCCAGAGGTTCCTGGCTACCCTGAATTGCCAGAGGTTCCTGAATGACCTGAGTTGTTAGAGGGTCCTGGATGCCATGACTGTGAGAATTTTGAAGGCATGAATTATCTTCTAATGATGTATGTCTACTCTCTTTATTTCTTCTAAATCTTTTAATATCCAACTCCAATGTTAGCTCATCATTTTCTTCAAACTTTTCAACAGTGTCTAAGTGCTCACTTTTTCTCTCATTTTTTATTTTCTCTGGTATATCTTTACCTTTTGAATTCTGTGATATTCTGAAGTGTCTGGAAGATTTTTTCCCCCTAATATGATTTGCCAAATCATCATCATCAGTATGATGACGATGATGATGATGGCGAGGAGGATGAGGATGAGGATGATGATGATGATGATGATGATGATGACGATGACGACGATGATGATGACAAATCTGTAGCCGATTCAGAGCTGGATTTACTTTTTTTTTGGGATAAAATGTTTATACATTTTTGTTTCTTAATTTCCCAACTTTCTTCAAGTAGTTCATTCATACGTAATGGCCAATATTTTCTCCACTCGAGATAATAGTCAAAGGTGTATGGATCCCCTCTTATTTCAAGAATACTCTTAGCCTTCTGTTGAGCAAACATTCTATATTCTTTGCCATAGTCCGGGTGGGCATCAGGCTTTCGAAGGTACAACAAGCATTCACGACAATGAATTTCATGAAGTGACAGAAGAGCACGGCGAATACCTGGATCTTTCTCCTTCTTGCACTGCTCTTGAATTTTCTTAATTCTGCGCTTGTAAATAGTTACAGGATCACTTTTCCTTTCAATTTTTCTTTTATGATTGTGTGAGTATCTGTTGAGAGATTTATAATGTAACTAAAAAATAAAGAAAATTATTTTAGTCTTAAGCAATAAAAAAGTCTAAAATATATTTTATATCAGCTAAAAATACAAAAAAAAAAAAAAAATAAGCTCTCGAGTACAATGCTGTGGAGACAATATTGGATCCTGCATCCGGCTCTCAGATTATTAACAACCTTCCCCCCAGTCACTCAATGTCATAACAACTGCATTCCAAGAATGTCTTTCTCCATTTACACTGTAACAAAGTAAAACTTGTCTGACACTGATAAATATGAGTGAAGTATTGTCTTTTCCACAAAATGCTGATAATGTTAAAACCTATTACTAGATGCAGGTAAGAGCAAGATTTAGTCTAGTCAATGGGTTTGATGCCAAGTCTTTGCATGTTGGTAATGTTCTCCAATACATTTTTTATAGAACCACTCCTCTAAATTGGAGTTATCACAAACTTTCTTTTTAGTTTCTCCACCCATTTATTATATTCTAAGGACATAAAATGTCTGAAATTTATTAACACTACACCATTTTCATACTTGCCAGGAAATTAAATACGTATTATAAAATTTAAAAACAAAAATGCTTTTTACCTTAAAGTAAAACACTGCAATGAATGTAACAAAGAAGACTTCTTTTGAATAATAATAATAAGCACTAAACCTGAAAGGTCATACAGCACTGCAGGGTAGAATGTGTTAAAGAAGGAATATGCAAAGGTCAGAGAGCAGTGCATAATAGGAGTGCAATAGGAAGAGTTAGTGAGGGTAGTGGGAAGTGCTAAAATGAAAATATAATAAAAACTGGTATAATAAATTAGTTTCCAATAAAAGTCAAAGAGAGAGTCCGAGTCAAAGGTAGGACTTCAGTGAGAAGGGCAAGTAAAGTGCTTTAGGATGGTGAAGACATTAAGTAAATTCTGCTTGCCCACTGACAGACAGGACAATCTAATAAGAGATGCTAAACTGATAACATAACTTGGCAATACCCACAGAGAGATGCCAAAGCATTTTTCCATAAGATGCCCGTGATGAGAAGTATGTATCCGATACATAAGCGGAAAAGTGTAGTATCCCAACCATGACAGTGATAGTAAGATGACCGGAAACCCAAACATGGTTTGACAGAATGCAATTTCTTATGGACCAACTCAAGCCATCTTTGTTGCCAGCAGTTGTGAAGTTGTCTAGAGATTACTGCAAAATAGTCTGAGAAAATAAGACCCTTGTAAGAAATGAGGTCATGCACTACTGACTGAGATGTGAAGTCTACCTGCTCATTGCCCCTGAGTTGGTCTATAATAAATTGTATTCTGTTAAATCATGTTTGGGTTTCTGGTTAACATCTTTGTGTCAAAGGGGCCCAGCAGAAAACTATATCTTTGTGTTTACTAGAAATGCAATTCAACCAAAGTTGTATACATAGAACGATGGAATGAAGGGAATCAAATTTCTGGATAGCCTGTAATGCACTGTAAGAATCTGAAACTACTACTGTATAAATGTTAAAGTAAGTATTGATACAATACATATGAGGGGAAAAGGGTGAGTGGTGCACTTAGGAGTCTGTGGAGAAAAAGAACTTTGTCTGTGGAAGCAAAGAGGGGAATGTATGAGAGTATGGTTATACCAACACTCTTATATGAGTGTGAAGCATGGGTGGTGAATGTTTCAACAAGGAGAAGGCTGGAGACAGTGGAGATGTCATGTCTGAGGGCAATGTGTGGTGTGACTATAATGCAGGGAATTCATAGTTTGGAAATTAGAAGGAGGTGCAGGATTACCAACACTATTATCCAGAGGGCTGAGGAAGGGTTACTGAGGTGGTTCGGACATGCAGAGAGGATGGAACAAAATAGAATGACTTCGAGTGTATAAATTTGCAGTGGAGGGAAGCGGGGCAGGGGTTGGCCTACGAAAAGTTGGAGGGAGGGGGTAAAGGAGGTTTTGTGTGCAAGGGGCTTGGACTTACAGCAAGCATGCGTGAGTGTATTTGATAGGAGTGAATGGAGAAAAATGGTTTTTAGGACTTAAAGTGCTGTTGGAGCGTGAGTAGGGTAACATTTATGAAGGGATTCAGGGAAACCAGCAGGCAGGACTTGAGTCTTGGAGATGGGAAGTACAGTGTCTGCACTCTGAAGGAGGGGCGTTAATGTTGCAGTTTTATGACTGTGGTGTAAGCACGCCTCTGGCAAGACAGTGATGGAGTGAATGATGATGAAAGTTTTTCTTTTTCGGGCCATCCTGCCTTAGTGGGAAACAGTCAATGTGTGTTAATAACATATGACAGCCATGAGAACTGCATACAACTCGGATGTGAAAATACTAGCTGCATATAATAAATGACCTTATATAAATGTTCAGAAATCCTGCTGCATACCTGACACCTTTAGAGGACTTACAACCATCAGTGTAGACCTCAAGGACACTAAACAGATTCAAAGTAACCAAGAAAGAGTAAACATGAAATTATATTAAGTAATTGAGCTGATGCACATGGAATTTGGAAGAACACCCACAAACTGTCGGAACTTCCCAAGTATGGAGAGGAAAATAAGATGCTAGATGGATATACAGAGGCAGCAAATTAAGGAAGCTATGAGAGAGTGAATAAGGAGAGAAAAAGGATGTAGTAAAGAGGGGCAGTGACCAAACAGAGAAGTACCACTGACATCTGTTACCATCCTATATGTAAAAGGATCAAGAAAGTCATGGGAGTGGACAGAATAATTGTGACAATGGGCATCATGTTGATCTTGCAAAGATGGAACATACAGGCTCTCAACCGGGAAGGAGCAAAAAGCACCTAAACACAAATGCGACCCTTGACAAATAGAATCAAGTTAAAAAAGTAGTCTATCAGCCAAACAGAAATGATGGGCTTAAGCTTGCCTGAAATGCTCTTCATAACCATGGGCTTCCTGCATGCACAACCAAATGTCACACCATCACTGTACAAACACTATCATGTGGGCATAAATCTTTGCGTTGAGTCTTAAGGAAGTTCAGTCGACTATGACAAATTGCTCTTAGGAAAGTTATGCGAGGTTTCCAGGACATCCAATGATCAAACAGAAGGGATGTGGGGACCATTCAGATATAGCAAAGTATTAGGTGTCCTGTAAAAGTAATCTGAGATGGCCCAGTGGGAAACATGGTTGACAGCATTCTAGAGAGAGGGGCTGCTATAAGGTCAACAGTAAGCACCTGCACAAACTACATGTATGTACATATAGCAAAATCATCGACATAAAGTGATGACCAAATATCAGATGGGAGGATAGAGGCAAGGTCATTGACAGCTAACAGGAAAAGGGTGGTGCTAAGAACACAACTCTGAGGATTGCCTTCAGCTTGGGCAAAGTCGGGGGGTAAAGCGTACTGTTAAGGCAGACAAAGAAATCTCTCTCTGACGAGAAATCCTTAAGTAAAAGTGGTATATTCCCTCAAAGGCCTACGGAATGAACTTGGGCCAAGGTGTTATAATGCCAGGTAGTGTTACACACTTTTTCGAGATAAAAAAGACTGCAATAGCCAAGTGTTTACTAGCAAAGGCATTATGAATATAGGTATCTCAGCGGAGTAAGTGGTTAATAGTGAATCAGCCCCTATGAAAGCCAAATTAACGAGGATAATAACAACTGTGCATTCCCAAATGCCACAACAAACATTTGTTACCCAGACATTCTAGCAACTTGCAAAAACCACTAGTAAGAGCAATGAATCTATAGTGAGAAAGTGTCATGGCTTGAAGTGCCCAGCTTACGAAAGGGTAAAACAATGGCAGTTTTAAAACAGAGGAGAACCCTCTGAGACCAAACAAGATTGATGAGACTTAAGAGGATGCCGAGCACCATAAGATGTAAATGTTGACTCATACTAATACAAATGCCATTAGGTCCAGCCATGGAAGATCAGCAAGTGGACAGTCAATACAAGTTTGCAAAACATGAAAGGCATATTATAATACTGCTCTATGCTGGAAGTAAAATCCAAAGATGTTAATTCTCTGGAAGTTTTGGAAGAAAGAAATGAGGGGAGCAGATGGAACCCTTGAGATATCAGGCAAGATGATGTCCAATGTCTGTGGCAACATCAGCAGGGTCTGCAATGCTGCTGACACTGGCAACCGTAAGAATTTTAGTATGTTTTTCCAAATTGCTTTCATAATAGTGGAAGTGACAGTAAAAACACTCTCCCCAACAAGTACATTTTGCTTCTCTTAGATTTTAAAGGAGAATGTCTACCCAAGGTTTGGGGGCAATTTGCAACTGAGGCTGTGATTAAACCAGGGGATATAAATATTTTTAACAATTCATCTGAGAAAGATGGAGAAGGATAAAAAGAAATAAAAAAAAAAGGTAAAACACTCAAACTGCCAATGATGATAGGGGCAAAAATGTGAATGGGAAGTAAGGAGAATAGGGAAATTATCAATGTCATGCAAATCTGGTACTAAAGACCAAGGAAAGTTAAGCTATAGAAGAGCAAACAGAAACATTGATGCAAGAATGAGTACGAGTGCAAGGATCAAAATGAGTAGGGGTGCTGGTGTTTAAAACACGGAGGGGAATAGTGAGAAGTCTCCAACTGTTTGTCATAAGTGTCACAATGAGACCCTTCCCAGAGGAAAAGATTAGCATTAAATTCACCTATAAAAGAGTTGTGGAGGTAAGGAGGAAGCTAGAAAATGGACATCAGGAATAAATAACAGCCATGAAGGAGACAGATACAAAGAGCAGACCATATACCACTTAGACAAGTATGGGCCACAGAGTAATGTAGCAAAGAAAGAGCTGAAAATATGGTACATCAACATGCACAAAAAGTGCACTTTTAAATGGAGCTATAATTTCCAAGGGAAAAACCCCAAAGGTTAAATGCAGGAAAGGGAGCAGTGAGGAGGGAAAGGGAGGGGTGGGGAAAGATGGGATGGATAAGGGAGTGGGAGGCAATTTGGTTTGGTTTGAGAAAGTAGACAAAAAGGTCCAATTCCTTAGATCAAGAGCCTCTTCACCATGTCAAGGAGCCTTCATTAAAGGCTTCTTTTGAAGCAGCCTTGTAAAGTCTACATAATATGTAAACTAACCGCTCCTACTTACCTACTCCTGCGGGACTGGGATTTGTGACAGGTTTTATCACTTCTTCCTTTGTAAGCCACATCAGAATCATATGGTCTACTTGACTTTCCCCACTCATCGTGGTCATGTCTTGACTTTCGTCTTCTGGAAATTCATTTATACAGTATATATCTATTATGTGACTGTCAAGCCTTCTCAATAAGACTTACACTTTTTAAATACATTGTCCTTGCTAAGCTTTTTAGTTTTGTCCTACTTTAAACAAGAAAAAAGTATTTTACAGGAAAACAAATTTAAAAATTTTAGTTAAATCCAAAGCAAAAATGCCAATAAGAACAAGATAAAACCACAAAAAAAATCTGTTATTAAGATATATTAATATCTGAACAATTTGTGCACTCACCTTTTCTCTGACCTACAGCACTTTGAAGCCTCATCCTTATGTGCATCAGAATCAGATGTATAAGGTGATCTATGGGTAATGTGAAACCTTTCACTGCTACGCTGAGCTACTGCAACTCTCTCTGAATACTCCATGTGCTGTTTATTTGTACGACTTGTACTAGGTTTTCGATTTAAGGAAGCTCTCAAGAATGAAGCGCATGCCTCGGCAAACTTTCTTCTAATCTGTGGATCTATAACAATTTCATTATGATGCAGGACAGCCATAGAATGCTTCCTATTTAATGATGTTACGTCTTCATTATATTCCACACTATTTTCTCTACCAAGATATCTAGAGTAACTATATTCTTCCTTTTCTCTGTCATCTTTCAGAAGAGCACTTTCCTTGTAACATTTATGCAATGAGTCACTGTCCCTATCTTCAAATTTCAAAGAGTTGCTGTTCTCACTTTCACTCCATTCTCCACTTTCCCTTCTATATAGTCCATGGCTGCTGACCTCTCTCTCACTTGACTTTCCTGTATGATTCCTCTGCCTCTTACTCCACTTGTCACTCTCTGCTTCTTCACATGAATGCTTATTATGTTTATCCCTTTCATGACTTCTTGAATACCTATCACTCTCATCAAGACCAGAACTTCTAATTCTTGGATGCTTTGAGAAATAGGAGTTACTTATTTCCTCATTCCTTGAGGAACCATTGCTCTCATATTTTTTTAATTTCTGTAAATGGTCTCTTTCCTTCTTCAATAATTTTCTAAGGGAACTTTCATTTTCAAATTCAGTATCTTTTGAAGATAATGAATGATGACCTTGTTCTCTCTTATGCATTTTCATGTGATCCATACTTCCTCCTTACATATATGTACACGTATTCTACTTTTTTCAATATTTTTACTACTTTTATCACTAACTCTCTCCATTAAATGTTAAGTGATTTCTGCCCGTTTTGTTAAACTTCGAAAAATTTTCATTTTCTGAAAGTCCTAATGTCCTCCTGAATCACAGCTTATTCTACAAATATTAATCTTTTCCTCTGACTTACTATTTGGAGACTTGCATTTTTTTTTTTTCATTCAGTCTTGGTAGAATCCAATTTCTGCTGTTTCTCTTGACATTAACATGTGCATTTCTGGCTTATCAATATCTACAATTAAATTACAAACATTCATATCCTTTTTCCACTACTTGCTAAATTACATTGCACTAGTCTGAATTAAAAAAAAAAAACACATTGATGCCCACTGTTTAACACACTGTATGTTATCACATCTAATAGCAGTGTGTTTTACCCATTACAGGTAGAGCACCTCCTATCTATAAGGTTTTTATTTCCAAAATTAGATTTAACTTCATAAGCTTAGTTTTTGCCCTAACTATTCTCTGCTGAATTTAAGTTTTCCATTTTTTGGGTATCAATTTTTATTTCACAAGCACCAACATTCTTCTTAAAGTTGTTCTTACTCCATGATATTTCATCAGGACTGCCACTTATTTTTAACTATAGTACAGTACCTCCATGCTCTGCTTACACATTACATATAGATGCTTCAACAGTACTTTCTATTTTACATATACCTGTATTTTGTCATGTTAGTTATTTTCTAGATACATTAAATGCACAATCGTGTAAGCTTAAGGCAAGGTTACAACACTTCCTTATTGTTTACAAACAGCAACTCCATTTTCTTTGATAAACATTTGCATGTCTAAATTCACTTATCTTTTCAACAGTTCAGTGATGTCACCAGCACTACACAAAATTAAAATATTTTATAAGTAACATGTATATATATAGTGAGTAAATAGTTTGCCACCTTATCCTCATTTAGAAGCTCATCAAATGTCAATTAAATCAATTTTATCTACATTATCATAAAGCATAATCACTTATTTTTGCATTACTGTACTGTGTTGTGTGAGCAATTTTTGCAACAGGTTTTTTTGCAGTACCTAGTCAGAAACAAGCCACATTACATGCCGATACTTGCAATTTTGAACCAAGCATTACGTAATTTGCCAATCCAATATGATGATAGTTCACATTGTATTCTTTGGTTCTCCTAGATGTTTAACAGCAAACTCTTTCTCTACAGCAATTTCCCATCACCAAACAATTTTCTTTTGTATATTTATACAATATTTTTCCTTCATGAATATTTACATGTTAATTTAATTTAATATACAAACATTATTATTTGAAGAATACAGGCCTTTAAAAAAAAAAAAAGCATCATGCATAGTCTAAATACTGTACTGTACCAAGAGCAGTTTCTTAACCTTGTTCCAAAATTTTAAGCCATCAGTTTTTCTTATAATTTCATAAGCTTGACATTTCAACAACAAACTCTTGCTTAGCATTTAGTACAGTATGTGCTTTTTCAAAGGTAACTTTGAATTTTTGGTACCACATATTACTACTGCACCTCTCCATACATGACAATCAAAACCTAAACTTTCCTTCACAATAATGTACATGAATACAGATTACAAGAATGAACACTACTCCTGGAACAAACTTGAAGGCATCAGAACCTGAACATCTACACTGAAAAGAAAAATGAGTTATGTTAGAAAAGGAATTATTTTAATACACAGGTACAAATATTATATTTGCAAAAATTATCACAACCCAAATGGGTCACAAAGCAACTTAAGACTGAAGTACAGGAATAGAGGAACATTGTAACAAATGAACTTATAAGCTAAGAAAAAAATGTCAAAATAAGTATAAGTTTCAGTCTAGAAGTCACAGTGTGTCTGGACTAAAAGAATGGCTTTCTGAAAGGAAAGCACCCAGGGTGAGTGTCCAGGTGCTGGAAAACAGAATAAAATGAATTCTACTTGCTCTCTGATAAACGGTACAAATAAGCAAAAAGGGTTTGACTGTCAACAGGAGCTAACAATTCACACAGAGGGGTGCTGGGTGCCTCTCCATGTGATAACTATGTGCAAGTCTTGTTACAGCAATGAAAAGAAGTTGACCAAGAACCCAAATGTAGTTTCATCAAAAACAGAATACAGTGGACCCCCGGTTAACGATATTTTTTCACTCCAGAAGTATGTTCAGGTGCCAGTACTGACGAATTTGTTCCCAAAGGAATATTGTGAAGTAGATTAGTCCATTTCAGACCCCCAAACATACACGTACAAACGCACTTACATAAATACACTTACATAATTGGTCGCATTCGGAGGTGATCGTTATGCGGGGGTCCACTGTATTGTTATACAACCTGGACCAATGGTGTTGCCATCACTTGCAAATGCTCGTAAACAAAATTGAAAAATAGTCTGAATAGGGTACATCCCTACAAGAAATGGACAGGACCTGGACTGTGGAATGTACAGAAAAGTCTGCAAGTTCATTTCCCAGTGGCCTGGAAACATTTCGACACATTTCCTTACACTATTGTCTGTTCACCTAGCAGCAAATAGGTACCTGGGTGTTAGTCGACTGGTGTGGGTCACATCCTGGGGGACAAGATTGAGGACCCCAATGGAAATAAGTTAACAGTCCTCGATGATGCACTGGCTTTCTTGGGTTATCCTGGGTGGCTAACCCTCCGGGGTTAAAAATCCGAACGAAATCTTATCTTATCTTATCTTAAAACCAGAATAACCAGGGACTTAGTTAAACATAGTGTATTACATATCCCTCGTAAGTACTACATATAACTACATTGCAATGTTTTGTGACTTAAATTTCTGACTGTGTAAACTTACAGGTACCTGTCTTCACTGACTTGGGCATTACCTTACATCTTACAATACAACTTGGGCATTACTTTACAACTTACAAACATACAACCTGTGTACAACATTGAATAAGTAATTATTTTGTTGCATGTTGTGCAACTGAGATACATATAATTATACATACATTTTTAGTGCCCAGACAAAAAGGCTTTTTTGTTTATACAACCTAACCTAACCAAGAATTTTATGGCTGGTCTAGGTTAAGTTTGGTATGGTTGGGTTTAATTATCCAACTTAACAAAATACAGTGGACCCCCGCATACCGTTGGCATCACATAACGTTAAATCCCCATCACCGCTACATTTTATCGCCAAGATTTTGCCTCGCATACCGCTAAAAAACCCGCTCAACGCTGTTCGTCTGAGACGCGTCTATGTGCGGCCTGAGCCACGCTCACATGTTCCTCCGGTGGCACTGTTTACCAGCCAGCCTCCGTGGTAACATCCAAGCATACAATCGGAACATTTCGTATTATTACAGTGTTTTTGGTGATTTTATCTGCAAAGTAAGTGACCATGGGCCCCAAGAAAGCTTCTAGTGCCAACCCTACAGCAATAAGGGTGAGAATTACTATAGAGATGAAGAAAAAGATCATTGATAAGTATGAAAGTGGAGTGCGTGTCTCCGAGCTGGCCAGGTTGTATAATAAACCCCAATCAACCATCGCTACTATTGGTGGTACAGCTGTGCTGCTGCTGCCCGTAGCTGCTGTGTGCTGCACTGTCAGCTGCTGTGCCTGCTGTAGCACCATCTGCTGCTGCTGCTGTAGCACTGTCAGCTGCTGCTGCTGCTGTAGACCATCTGCTGCTGTGTAGCATTTGCTGCTGCTGTGCATGTCTCTGTGCTGTAGCATCGTTGCTGCTGCTGTAGCATCGTCTGCTGCTGCTGTAGCATCGTCTGCTGCTGCTGTAGCATCGTCTGCTGCTGCTGTAGCACTGTCAGCTGCTGCTGCTGTTGTACCACCGTCAGCTGCTGCTGCTGCTGCTGCTGTAGTACCGTCTGCTGCTGCTGTAGTACCATCTGCTGCTGCTGTAGCATCGTCTGCTGCTGCTGTAGCACTGTCAGCTTGCTGCTGCTGCTGTTGTACCACCGTCAGCTGCTGCTGCTGCTGCTGTAGTACCGTCTGCTGCTGCTGTAGTACCGTCTGCTGCTGCTGTAGTACGTTGCTGCTGCTGTCATGTGCTGCTGCTGTAGCACCGTTGTTGGTGTGGCTTATTGAGAATACCAAGAAACAATTAACCCCAGAGGATTTGCCACCCAGGATAACCCAAAAAAGTCAGTGTCATCGAAGACTGTCTAATTATTTCCATTGGGGTCCTTAATCTTGTCTCCCAGGATGCAACCCACACCAGTCGACTAACACCCAGGTGAACAGGGAAAAATGCCTGGAACTAGTGCTCATATTGGTGAATTTAAAGCCAGCAAAGGTTGGTTTGAGAGATTTAAGAATCGTAGTGGCATACACAGTGTGATAAGGCCTGTTCTGGAAGAAAATGCCAAACAGGACCTACAGTACTCAGGAGGAAAAGGCACTCCCAGGACACAGTGTCTCATCAGTCATTGCTGCATCTTCAATAAAGGTAAGTGTCATTTATTCTTCATTTAGTAGACTAGTACATGCACAATATATATTGTGCATGTACTACTCTACTATTGTGCATGTATCCTTCTCTTTGTGTGTAGGAAAATGTATATTTCATGTGGTAAATTTTTTTTTTTCATACTTTTGGGTGTCTTGCACGGATTAATTTGATTTCCATTATTTCTTATGGGGAAAATTCATTCGCATAACGATAATTTCACATAACAATGAGCTCTCTTGCACGGATTAATATCGCTATGCGGGGGTCCACTGTAGTTTCTTTCCTATTTCTCCAAACAGGGATTTGCATTGCAAAACCTACTCAACAGAAAAGAATTTACATAAATGATATTCATATTTTGCCTAGTATAACCTAAATTATTATTATTATATATTATAATTATAATAAAAAAAAAAGTGCTAAACCACAAGGCCCAAATATAACCCCAAAAAAATACTTTTTCCTGTAGAATGAATAGAATGGAAATTATTTATAATATAAAAGATTAGCTGATTTTTGTCCCTGGAAAAAGTAACCAATGATCATTACTTTGTCCCATAACTCATTACAATTGTGACTGGGTGTGGACCTGTGAATTGCTCATTACTTTATAATTTGTTCATGATTGTAACTATGTATAAACGTAAGTAAATTTACTTACATGATTCATTAGGTTTACAACTTGTGATTTCATTACCTTTGTACCTTCTTCGGCTATCAAAACTTTGGGGCCCAGTCCCTGGACCCATTATGTACCTCTAATCTCTAAATACCTTTGAAACTTGTCATGATTGTGACCAGATCTACCTGGGGTTCATTACCTTTCTAATCTGTTCAGCTATCAAAACTTTGTAATCTAGTCCCTGGACCCATTGTATGACTATAATCTGTTGACTACCACCCACAGGATGGGTATGGGCTGCATAATAGAGATATTTAACTGTGAAAATTATTTGAGAAATATTAGAATAAATAGTTTATGTACAGGTACACAAATACAATTATCACAGTGTAAATTACTTAGGATTTCCCCAAAAGCCACTGACTTTTTTGGGGGTTATCCTATGTAATTTACACTATGATCATTTTACTTATGTGTACCTGTGCCTTAATAAACTTAACCCAATAAAAATTCAGTGACGTATTTCCAATGGAGTTCTTGTAGCAAATCCAATACAATCAAATACAGTGATTTATTAGCAGTGATGCGGTAATGAGTATCCAGCAGCCACTGCAGCTCTTCCATTAATGTTAACTGGCAGCAGCACAGCAATACTTACTCTATCATGCAATTACTGCAACGTCATCATTATTTTGACTCCTCTTTTAGCCTGAATAATTCTGTGTTGACATGGCGGAACAACTTCATTGTACCACACGACCAGAATGTTCTCTTATGCGATAGTCACTGTATACCAGACACACATATGGACACTACTGTAACATTCTGGTCATAGATGGCAGTGAAGACAGGTACCAGCGTCAGTGAACACAGGTACCAGCGTCAGTGAACACGTACCAGCGTCAGTGAACACAGGTACCAGCGTCAGTGAACACAGGTACCAGCGTCAGTGAACACAGGTACCAGCGTCAGTGAACACGTACCAGCGTCAGTGAACACAGGTACCAGCGTCAGTGAACACAGGTACCAGCGTCAGTGAACACAGGTACCAGCGTCAGTGAACACAGGTACCAGCGTCAGTGAACACAAGTACCAGCGTCAGTGAACACAGGTACCAGCGTCAGTGAACACAAGTACCAGCGTCAGTGAACACAGGTACCAGCGTCAGTGAACACAGGTACCAGCGTCAGTAAAGACAGGTACCAGCGTCAGTGAACACAGGTACCAGCGTCAGTGAACATAGGTACCAGCGTCAGAGAACACAGCTACAAGACTCAGTGAACACAGATACTAGCGTCAGTGAACACAGGTACCAGAGTCAGTGAACGGGTATCAGCATCAGTGAACACGCTTACCAACGTCAGTGAACAAAAGTACCAGCTTCAGTGAAGACAGGTACCAGAGTCAGTGAACACAGGTACCAGCGTCAGTCAACACAGGTACCATCGTCAGGCAACACAAGTACCATCGTCAGTCAACACAGGTACCAGCGTCAGTCAACACAGGTACCAGCGTCAGTCAACACAGTTACCAGCGTCAGAGAACACAGGTACCAGAGTCAGTCAACACAGGTACCAGCGTCAGTCAACACAGTTACCAGCGTCAGAGAACACAGGTACCAGAGTCAGTCAACACAGGTACCAGCGTCAGTCAACACAGGAAACAGTCAGTGAACACAGGTACCAGCGTCAGTGAACAAAAGTACCAGCATCAGTGAAGACAGGTACCAGCGTCAGTGAACACATACCAGCGTGTGAACACAGGTACCATCGTCAGTCAACTCAGGTACCAGCGTCAGTCAACACAGGTACCAGCGTCAGTCAACACAGTTACCAGCGTCAGAGAACACTGGTACCAGTCAGTAAACACAGGTACCAGCGTCAGTGAACAAAAGTACCAGCATCAGTGAAGACAGGTACCAGCATCAGAGAACACAGCTACCAGCGTCAGTGAACACAGGTATCAGCGTCAGTGAACACATGTTCCAGCGTCAGTGAACACAGGTACCAGCGTCAGTGAACACAGGTACCAACGTCAGTCAAAACAGGTACCAGCGTCAGTGAACACATACCAGCGTCAGTGAACACAGGGACCAGCGTCAGTGAACACAGGGACCAGCGTCAGTGAACACAGGTGCTAGCGTCAGTGAACACAGGTACCAGCGTCAGTGAACATAGGTACCAGCGTCAGAGAACACAGCTACCAGTCAGTGAACACAGATACCAGCGTCAGTGAACACAGGTACTAGAGTCAGTGAACACAGGTACCAGTGTTAGCCAACACAGGTACCAGCGTCAGTAAGCACAGGTACCAGCGTCAGTCAACACAGGTACCTGCGTCAGTCAACACAGTTACCAGCGTCAGAGAACACAGGTACCAGTCAGTGAACACAGGTACCAGCGTCAGTGAACACAGGTACCAGAGTCAGTGAACATAGGTACCAGTGTCAGTGAATAAAAGTACCAGCGTCAGTGAAGACAGGTACCAGAGTCAGTGAACACAGGCACCAGCGTCAGTCGACACAGGTACCGGCGTCAGTCAACACAGGTACCAGCGTCAGTCAACACAGGTACCAGCGTCAGTCAACACAGGTACCAGCGTCAGTCAACACAGGTACCAGCGTCAGTCAACACAGGTACCAACGTCAGTCAACACAGGTACCAGCGTCAGTCAACACAGGTACCAGCGTCAGTCAACACAGGTACCAGCGTCAGTCAGCAGAGGTACCAGAGTCTGAACACAGGTACCAGTCAGTGAACACAGGTACCAGCGTCAGTGAACACAGGTACCAGCGTCAGTGAACACAGGTACCAGCGTCAGTGAACACAGGTACCAGCGTCAGTGAACATAGGTACCAGCGTCAGAGAACACAGCTACCAGTCAGTGAACACAGATACCAGCGTCAGTGAACACAGGTACTAGAGTCAGTGAACACAGGTACCAGTGTTAGCCAACACAGGTACCAGCGTCAGTAAGCACAGGTACCAGCGTCAGTCAACACAGGTACCTGCGTCAGTCAACACAGTTACCAGCGTCAGAGAACACAGGTACCAGTCAGTGAACACAGGTACCAGCGTCAGTGAACACAGGTACCAGAGTCAGTGAACATAGGTACCAGTGTCAGTGAATAAAAGTACCAGCGTCAGTGAAGACAGGTACCAGAGTCAGTGAACACAGGCACCAGCGTCAGTCGACACAGGTACCGGCGTCAGTCAACACAGGTACCAGCGTCAGTCAACACAGGTACCAGCGTCAGTCAACACAGGTACCAGCGTCAGTCAACACAGGTACCAGCGTCAGTCAACACAGGTACCAACGTCAGTCAACACAGGTACCAGCGTCAGTCAACACAGGTACCAGCGTCAGTCAACACAGGTACCAGCGTCAGTCAGCAGAGGTACCAGAGTCTGAACACAGGTACCAGTCAGTGAACACAGGTACCAGCGTCAGTGAACACAGGTACCAGCGTCAGTGAACACAGGTACCAGCGTCAGTGAACACGGGTACCAGAGTCAGTGAACACAGGTACCAGCGTCAGTGAACAGGGGTACTAGCGTCAGTGAACAGGGGTACTAGCGTCAATGAACACAGGTACCAGCGTCAGTGAACACAGGCATCAGCATCAGTGAACACGTTCCAGCGTCAGTGAACACATGCCAGCGTCAGTGAACACAGGTACCAGCGTCAGTGAGCACAGGTACCAGCATCAGTGAGCACAGGTACGAGCGTCAGTGAACATAGGTACCAGCGTCAGTGAACACAGGTACCAGTCAGTGAACACAGGCACCAGCATCAGTGAGCACAGGTACCAGTCAGGGAACACAGGCACCAGCGTCAGTGAACACAGGTACCAGTCAGTGAACACAGGTACCAGTCAGTGAACACACGTACCAGCGTCAGTGAACATTTACCAGAGTCAGTGAACACAGGTACCAGCGTCAGTGAACATAGGTACCAGCGTCACTGAACACAGGTGCCAGCGTCAGTGAAAACAGATACGAGCGTCAGTGAACACAGGTACCAGAATCAGTGAATACATGTACCAGCGTCAGTGAACATAGGTACCAGCGTCAGTGAACACAGGTACCAGCGTCAATGAACACAAGTACGAGCGTCAGTGGACACAGGTACCAGCGTAGGTGAACAATAGTACCAGCGTAAGTGAACACAGGTACCAGCGTAAGTGAACACAGGTACCAGCGTCAGTGAACACAGGTGCCAGCGTCAGTGAACACAGGTACCAGCGTCAGTCTGCCCGAAATGCCTAGTCTTGCTAGGTGTAATAGTGGCCCTCTCTCTAATTAGTATTATACGTATATGTAAACCACACAGTATCCTATAATATGTAAACCCCGTATTGTAACCTCTATAGAGAATAAACTTGATTTGATTTGATTTGAGTAAACACAGGTAAAAGCTTCAGTGAACTCAGGTACGAGCGTCAGTGAACGCAGGTTTCAGCGTCAGTGAACACAGGTTCTAGCGTCAGTGAACACAGGTACCTGTAAGTTTACACGGTCAGAAATTTAAGTCACTAAACATTGCAATGTAGTTATATGTAGTACTTATGAGTGATACGTAAGACACTATGTTTAACAAGATAAAGTTGAATTTAGACAAACTGAAGTGTTTATGAGTTATTTAAAAATAATTAGATTTAGTATTTTTTCCCGAGTGGCTGGTAATATACGACTCTTGATAAAATATCTATACATTTCTTGAATATTTGTGAATCATCAACCCTGAAACATATACAGTGAGGTCTTAATTAAGATTAGAAAGGGGTTTACTTAATCGTGCTAAGGAAAGAGATGCTATTACCTGGAGTTTACCTGGAGAGAGTTCCGGGGGTCAACGCCCCCGCGGCCCGGTCTGTGACCAGGCCTCCTGGTGGATGAGAGCCTGATCAACCATGCTGTTACTGCTGGCTGCACGCAAACCAACGTACGAGCCACAGCCCGGCTGGTCAGGAACCGACTTTAGGTGCTTGTCCAGTGCCAGCTTGAAGACTGCCAGGGGTCTGTTGGTAATCCCCCTTATGTATGCTGGGAGGCAGTTGAACAGTCTCGGGCCCCTGACACTTATTGTATGGTCTCTTAACGTGCTAGTGACACCCCTGCTTTTCATTGGGGGGATGTTGCATCGTCTGCCAAGTCTTTTGCTTTCGTAGTGAGTGATTTTCGTGTGCAAGTTCGGTACTAGTCCCTCTAGGATTTTCCAGGTGTATATAATCATGTATCTCTCCCGCCTGCGTTCCAGGGAATACAGGTTCAGGAACCTCAAGCGCTCCCAGTAATTGCTATAAAATTATTTATAAAAATTTTTTAAAAATACTCGATGAGTGAAGTTATAGAACGGAAGGAAATACTATACATACTATTTTTAAACATTACTTAATATTGTACTAATAGTAATCATAGATGAGAGAGGCTAACACTTTTCTCATTGCAGGTTAAATATACAATTTTTCGTCAACGTACATCTGTTATAATTATATGTATATTGGAACTATTGTATAAATCGTATATAGCAAACCTACATCAATATAACATGTGGGGTTCCTCAAGGTAGTATTCTGGGTCCTTTACTATTCCTGTTACGTGAGTGACATGTCTATCAGTGTCAGATGTAAGCTATTACTGTTTGCAGATGATAGTGCTTTGTTAGTACCAGGTAAAGACCCACAAGACATTACCAGGGTACTATCATTAGAACTAAAGTCCTGTAGTAAATGATTAGTAGACAAATTATCACTACACCTCGGGAAAACGGAAGCCATACTCTGGCACGAAATAAATTGAAAAGGGTAAATAATTTTAATGTCAAGTGTAATGGGGAACCTAGTATTGCAGTAA